TTCAATAAAATTTTGAATGAAAGTCAACAAATGAGATGACATGGACTTTCACTTGTGATCCATCTGAAAGGGTTGAATAAATCTCCCTACATATTGTATATAACACTGGATTTTATTGTGTACACACTTGATGTAGAAAAAATTATTAAATTTTAAATTTCATTTTGAAATAAAAAATTTGTATATATGAATACTAATTCTATAGTTAGTATTTTATTCAGCTGTTTTGACTATGTGTTTTTGTAGTTATCTCCTGAAAATGAAACCATTCGAGTGATCTTTGACTTAAGTATTACAGCTCCTGTGCCCACTAGAGGAATAAGGGTAGGTTATCTGTGTTTAAAGACTAGTGTAACTTCAGATTTGGTTTTATTATGAAAATAAGTTTCAGTAGAAAGGTGGAACTTTACTGTTTAATCAGTTAGTATAATTGCTCATTATATCAAAGTTTTATGTATTTTGATGGACTTTTAAAATTATTTGTGTGTTGAAAGAGTTGTTTTAATTGCAAAAAATGTTTGAGCTTGTTTTGAATATTTTTTTTACAATATATTTGTTTAAGAAGTATCTTACTAGTGAGAAAGTGACAGAAAGTAATTTCCAACATTTTGCATATTTAATTTATATTCATAATAAAAAAAAGTTTGTGTCTTTTTTTTTCTAGGCAAGAAAGATAAAATGGTTATTTTCAGACCTACACCGTGATGTCAAATTGACGCGGAAATAAATGTGAAAATTAAACTGTTTTAACAGACAAATTACTTGTTGTAACCTTCTGAAATCTTGATATGTAATTCATTTAAGTGTAACAGGAAACTTCCTTTGTTTTGACCACTATTTATTTTTTTCTGAAATCAAATTACTCAAGTGCATATTATAAAAAGTGTTCTGTGCCATTACACATAAACTATAATTTAACACTAGAAAGGTGGATAGTATTTTTGTAATATTGCGATTGTATGATTTTAGTTTTGGTTGTCACGAGAATTGAGTAACTGACTTTTAATGAATAAACACAATTTTTATGCATGCAATTTTAACAGTCCAAGCACAAAGATAATGGATCTACAACAGTTATCAAGAGTTTATTTTGTATAATCATGCATTATGATCTTCAAAGTGGTATGTGTGAAATTATGGTATGTGTATAGTTTTGTATTGCTAGATTTTGCCAGTTATGGATATATAATTACAATCTGTGAGCAAAGTAGCTTTTTCACCATTGATTTGCTTCATCTTTAAAATAACCAAATATTGAAACAGTGAGTCTTTCTTCATTGCTCTTTTTTCCATGCAAGTTTTCCAGTTTGTACTGTCTTAGTTTATTCTTTTTTTGTAAGTTGTAAATTCTGCAGAAATATGTTACAGTATTTCTTGAGAACAGATCTGTGTAAATCTGATTGATGAGGATGTTTTCATATTGTTTGTCTCCACCAGCTGAAATGTGATCATCTGTCACTTTTTGCCCATAGTTATTTATGTTCTGAAGCAACTGACATCTGCACAGCTGAATCATTTTTGTACATAGTGATATTTACACACACACACACACACACCACTTCACAGAAGTGAACAACTTTTTGTGGTGATGTCTTTTCAAGCATGATAATGCCATCTCAGTCCAAACTGAAAAGATATTCCAGCTTCATGGCATCTGTGATGGTAGGAAATAGACTGTGTATGATTATATTGTTTTCCATATGAAAATTTAGCCACTAAATGCATAAAACTCTCAACACAATTTTTGGATTTTTGATGGTATCTGTTATTAGCCTGCAAGCTTTCTTAGCTAAGTAATCAACAGCATCCATGTATGTTGTACAAATAGTTGTTTCATAATTTTACTTATTTGGCTGTTTTTTAGAGGATCCAGCTTTCTTGAGAAAAGTTCTCTCACACTTGAATTTATGATTCAGCTGATTAAGTCCTCACAGGTTTTTTGGCCAGTATCTCTCTACCTACCATGAACTGGCTAAAAAATGCCCAATGCTGCCAAGTTTTGGACTGGAGATGCACCCCAGGTTTGCAGTACTTATTCCTGCTGGATGTCGGTTCCTGGTGGATCTGGTGTTTGTTGTAGCTGGAAGCAGCACATATATTCTCACCTGTGTATGGCCGGATATCCTCCTCCTACCATGGACTGGAAAAACCATTCCCAATGCCACTAGGTTTTGGACCGGAGATGTCATCCTACCAGGGTTTTCCACTTTCCTACCATCCACTGGATGCTGGTTCCTGGTGGATCTGGTGTTTGTTGTAGCTGGAAGCAGCACATATATTCCCACCTGTGTATGGCCGGATATCCTCCTACCATGGACTGCAAAAAAACCATCCCCAATGCCACTAGGTTTTGGACCGGAGATGTCATCCTACCAGGGTTTTCCACCTTCCTACCATCCACTGGATGTCGGTTCCTGGTGGATCAGGTGTTGGTTTGGTTGGAAATGCGTGCAAGTGGAGATGGATTTTGATATGGAAGCTCATCTTCCCTTCCAATTCCTATTTTGAGGTGAAAAGGTAGGTGATCCTCTACATACCATGATACTGATGTACAATTCCAGATACTGCCAAGTGTTGGTTGAGGTCGAACTACCACTACGGTTGATAGTGCCCTAATCACTCGACACCCAGGAGTCCCATTGTTCAGTAATACGTATTATGGGATTCCTTCATGTTTTTCCACTTTTTATATTCATGACACAGTCATAAGAGGGCAAAGAGTATACCTGGATCAGATGTGATGTAGTCTCCTGCTGAGGTGTGATGTTTTCTTTTTTTGGTGTCACACCTCATGGTCTCTCTTTGGGCACTTCCTGAAGGGGGATAATTTTTTCACTGGCCCTCCACAAGTTCAATGTATCATATCGGAAGTTAATATTTTCCTAACCTGAAAATCTGATAGATACTTGACTCTTCTTGCATTCCCCACCCAGCCTCCCCACTTCCAGTGATATTTGGTGTAGGTATTCGGATCAATCTCAAAGTAATTAATGAATGAGAATATGGAGAGGGCACTGGTTACGATAGGGGTTGTGTCATGCTCCTATTGGTGGAGTGCTACTGCATAATCATTTACATGTAGGTATTCAGAAGAAGGAGGTGGAAGGCTAGTGGCAAGTGTGTAAAATCTTTGCTTATAGAGGACAGTAGTTATTGAGAAAAGTTGAGGTTAGTGTCTATTGGAAATACATTTTCAGATTAGGAAAGTGTTAATCTCCAATGCATATTACATCCCAGTCTAATGTATAATTAATGTTTAATATGCCCTCTCTTCATCAGAGGAATGAGAACTCACAAGGTACACACATGCATGGGTGAGGAGCAGGATCACTAATTGTCAGGGGTTTATCTTTTCCATTGGATAGCAAAAGAAAGGTAGCTCAAGTATAGATTTTAGCCTTCTTCTTACCCTAGTTATTCAGTGTAGTTAATGTGAATACGTTACTTTTGTACTGGTACTTGATGTCAGTTTACAGTATGTAATTATCCTGGATAAGTTAATTTTTATACTAGTACTCGATGTTTATTTATGAATTGTAGGTTGTAGGAGAGAAATACGTAACTTCACAATTAACATTTTAAATAATTTATAATTTTAACACTTTAGAATCTTAAACACCCTCTTTAAAAGCCATCAAAAAAAGAAAAGAATTGTTATGGGGGAAGATGGGAGAATCCAGAGAAAAATCCACTTTCACTGAACAGGTGCCGAATATTCTGTCCAGTGGTGAGCTGAAAGAAAGTTACATGTTGGCAAATACCATGTGTGCATGCATGGATGGCTTCTTGGAGTATTCTACATGTGAGGCATGTTGTGGTCTTACTGGTGTTGAGTGTGAGATAATTTGAAGCTGCATGTGGATGAATGTAAACTTGATCAGGTCCTCTGGTTTTAAACACATCTCAAAAAATCCTTACTGGGTTCTGTCATCAGAAACCAATAAATAATCATACAGAGCAGCAAGGAACATATCTTTGTGACCCTTCTATCTTCTTGTTACATAAATACCCTATGCAAGAAATGTTCTTGGGTTAAATTCTGGTGATAATCTAATTGCACAGTGTTAAAGGAAGGTAAAATCACAAATGCATAGGATAGCAAACACTTGTCATCGAATCACAAACAAATATGAGTTAAACTTTCTGTTGTTCATATAGACCGAAAGTCTTGCTACTAATATGACATTTATTTGTCCTCAGTTATACCTGCTAGATCGAATGGAGAGTAGTACAAATCCCATGCTCTGTTCGAACAGGTTAGTGGTAGGAGTCTTGACATGAAGCTGTTCTTCTTCAGGTTACTCTTGAAGTACTTGAGGACTAGATCTGTCAATCTCTGTATCAAATTTGGGATTCCTGTGGGCTAATGGATACATTGATTTGGAATACACTTAAAATAAGACCCAAAACTCGAGCGCTTTCGAATAGTTGACAACCATTTGTTCTTCTGAAGAATAATAGTCAACTATTCGAAAGCGCTCGAGTTTTGGGTCTTATTTTAAGTCT